GTTTCTTGAGAAGCAAATCAGCATAGAATGATTTCTGAAGGATCATGTGACACTGAAGACTGGAGTAATGATGCTGAAAATTCAGCTTTGATCACAGGAATATATTACATTTTAAAATAGCCTATATTCAAATCGAAAGCAGTTATTTTAAATAGTGAAAATATTTCACAATATTACTGCTTTTGCTGTACTTTGGATCAAATAAATGCAGGCTTGGTGAGCAGAAGAGAATTCTTTAAAAAACATAAAAAAATCTTACTGTTCAAAATTTTTTAACTGGTAGTGTAGATATGTATCACTGCATCTAGTTGTTTTGGATAAGAATAAAACGTCAGGTCCAACAATATCGTGTCTTTTTTCATTTAAATCTAGATTTATTCGCATGGGCCCATGGAAACCTCTATGAACACACTTGACTTGGCCCAAAAAAAATGGGATTGGTTGCAGAACTGGCTATAAACAGTACTAATGGTATTAGTTAGATGTCTGATATGTTAGCCTATGTATTTTTATGCTATGATTCTCCCACGATTCTAAAAACAAACATTAGACAACCAAACAAAATATGTAATTTGAGTTTCTGACAAAAAAAATTATTTAATGGTATAAATGAGTCTATTTATAAATGTCTAAAATGTTATAAATGAGTGTATTTAAAAATATTTATTAATTTAAATGAATTCATTTATGTAGCAAAAAAATAATTTGAAGAAAAAAATGAAGACTTGTTTCGTCCAGAGTTTTTGAATGAATCTCTTGAATGATTCAGACATCAAATACATTTAACAGTCACTGTTTGCCACCTACTGGCATAATGTAACATACGATCTATATTTGAAGCATATGATTAGTTCCAAAGGTTAATTACTCGTTTTGATCGAGGCTGCCGCAACAGCAGTCTATATCCAGATTAAATTAATAAAAAAATTTAATGTTTGCAACATAGAAATGTAACCTACTGTGTAAGTATACTGTTTGTGTAGACTGTTTCAAACATAAAGCTTAGGCTACATGATGAGCGCTGCCAGGGGTTAAATTGGTATTTGCTATGTGGGGGGGCTCTATGGTATCGAGCTTATATATATATATATATATATATATATATATATATATATATATATATATATATATATATATATATATATATATATATATATATATATATATATATATATATATATATATATATATATATATATATATATATACAGTATATATGTGTGTGTGTGTGCGTGTGTGTGTGTGTGTGTGTGTGTGTTTGCAAATATGATGTATTCTGAAGCAATATTCTCATTTTATTCAATTTCTATATATTCAATATTTTTATTTTTTACCTTTTATAGAGGGCATTTTCCCACTAATCTCATTAGGCTAATACTTCATTTCAAATTCTTACATTTGATCTATAAATTTAATTATAATAATGTGATTATCTATACGTTATCAAATTAAATAATTTACACTGAAAAATACAACTGCATTAAATCATCAAAGTGTTTGATCCAGTCCTGATACACTTCTTAATTTCTCAACAAACAAAAAAACAGCCACCATTGTCATCGCTATTTCCAGCCCTATTTAGAGCCAGATCACCCCTGCTGCCTCTACCATGTCTCCCGGTTCTCCCATGCACAGTACGGCCACGTCTACCACGGCCACTCCCACCTCTTTGGGGCGCTGGATCCAAAGAGCTAGTGCTACTTCCAGCCCTATTTCTCCCACCCCTGCTGCCTCTACCATGTCTCCCGGTTCTCCCATGCACAGTACGGCCACGTCTACCACGGCCACTCCCACCTCTTTGGGGCGCTGGATCCAAAGAGCTAGTGCTACTTCCAGCCCTATTTCTCCCACCCCTGCTGCCTCTACCATGTCTCCCGGTTCTCCCATGCACAGTACGGCCACGTCTACCACGGCCACTCCCACCTCTTTGGGGCGCTGGATCCAAAGAGCTAGTGCTACTTCCAGCCCTATTTCTCCCACCCCTGCTGCCTCTACCTCTAGCAACAGCTCTCCTATGTACACTACGACCATGTTCACCCCTGCCACCCCCATCCCCATTGGGCAAAGGGTCGAAATGATCACTTGTTTGTGCTTCGTGAACACTCTCACCTTGCATGGCGGCACCATTGCGCTGCAAAGATGTACCGGGAGAAGCGCGATCATTAGACGACCGATCGTCATTTCCAAAAGGCAAATATTCCCCTTCAGAGTCAGAATCGGCGAATAACATTTGCAACACATCCTCACGGTACAACTTTTTATTAGCCATTTGGCGATTGTCTCTCACAAATCTCACAATTTACTCAGATGCTCTGAACTGAACTGCTTCCGCATCAGTGACACGATAGCTCACTTGCTCTGCTCTTTACTCGTGCAAGCACTGTCACCGGCAGCAAGTTTAGTTTTACTTTTCTTTTTGTTTTGTTTTCATTTTGAAAAGCTTATCTTTGCTGTTTACCTCACCTTATGCTATGGAGGCTCTCTCTCTTTTTTTGTGATTCCTCAGTGTTTGCTAAACGTTCTGTAATTTATTAGTAATTATATAGCCTAATACAGCGTGTAGGCCTATGCCATGCCTCATCTTATTTGTTTTTGTTAATAACGTTTTGTGAGATAGTTTGTCATTGAATCTTACATTGAATCTATTGTTGTTGTGCATTTTAATTAAAAATAATGAATCCATCTTTTTTTTTTTTGTCTTAAAAGGTGAAAGGTGTATAGATATATGCAAAACAGACAATTATATTTTATTGTAAAACCTGACAAGATCGTGCAATCGAAAGTGAAAGCATCCGAAGCCCGGCTTATAACATGTCAAATGAGAAACTCCCATGCACAAAATTCAAATCACAAATAATACTACTGATGAAAAAGAACGGGTTGAATGTTAAC